TTTTAACTGATAACTGAAAGAAAAGTCAAAGTTTGAACGAGGAATTATTTTAAGCTGCTAATTTTGGCAGACTTTTAACGAGATCTAAACATACGAGTTAGGATTGCTCAAGGTTTAGTCAGTTATGAAAACAATCATGATCTTCCTCCGATATGCGGTGCTATGATTTGTACGCTACCCTGTTATTACTCATCAAAACATGTAAGCCTCGTTACCCTTTTCACGGTTATGTTGTTATTGCAGCATAAATGGCACAATTACAGCGTTTTTAGCAAAAATAAAATAGGAATCTGTACACTTTCTTGTACAGAAACACAAGTTACAAGTAGCTTGCAACAGACCAAAGTTAAAATCAGATTATACCACGACAATTATCCTCAAATCCCTTTCCTTTTATTAGTCTTACACTATGTGCGATAACGGACTGGTGATATTAGTGACCTCTGGGAGACGTGCCATGATCAGTAAATGAATTGGCTCCTTTAAATAGAAAGAAACTCAAAATATCTAGCAGTTTACAAAGGTAGAAAAACGTCACCGTAAAAAAATAACTGAACAAGCCAAAAGAGAAAGAAGTAGTATAACATCGTTCGGATTGCAATAGATTCACATAAAAAAAACAACACCAACAACAACACATTTTTGTCCCGAGTGCCATGTCAATGCTTGTGGAAAGCAGACGGTAGTCACCAACTAAGCGGTGATTGGAAATCGAAGACACCCTAAGATATGTACGGGGTCGAGGGAGTTCCGTGTTTGCATGTTTGCTTACTGTGGGCGTTTTCTGCGTTTTTTGACAGCCGCTTTGAGGGTTTTTTTTCCCCAGCATTTTACTCTTTCCGGGTTGGTTCTGAAGGAGATCGCTCCTTAATTTGCACTATTACACATCACAATTTGGTAAGGGACAGGATAAGTTAGGTTTATCGAGCCTGAACTTCCTCGACAAAAGGTACAGAAAGTACTAGGTTTCTTGAACTGCTTTTAATTTTAGCGAATTCCTACTGGACTTCAACCGTTTGGTCCGGTGCCAGAGGGGTTTAAATTTAAAGTTAGTTGGCAGCCAACTCAATTGACACTTCACTCTCCTGTTTTCCACGAGCTGAAGTAGTACGCTGTAAACGTAAGTGGCAATTTGATTAAAACTTTAAAAATGAAGAGTGGTTTTATTTTGTTTTGGCAATCGTTGTGTTAAGACCAAAACACGACGTCATGGAAAGTCCTTCAAAGAAGTCTTGAGCCGATAAGTATTAAGCAGTTTACAACGTCTTTTATTGAAATTTACGTACGAATGGGGGCGAGATGTTGGGAAAAGAAAAGCGATGTTTGTTTTGTCCTTGTTTAAAGTTTCATTATCACGTACAAAGAAAACACCTATTTCCTATTTCCGAGAGACCACACAAACTTTGTAAACTAAGAGACGGATGTTACGTGAGAGAAGTTATTAACACACTGTATTTCCCAACAAAATGCGTGTATTCAAGGCCAGAGTCAGGCACCCCAAAACTATGTCTACGATGTGGAAGTTTTTCTAGGAAATTAAAGGATTAGTTCACAGACATCGGTAAACAGAAGTCTTTTATTTTTTTAAAATGCCATAGTCAAAGAGTAAAACTGAACATTTGTGGTTTTTTTTTCCTTGGCCAACAGCATATTAATAGCCTAATGTTTTCCCATCGCCTGGCTCGAAACAGAAATTCGAGTGAAGCTCTTAACAACCTGTTTTTCTGATACGAATAGCAAAGCAGAATTGGTGTAACTATTTCAGGAATTATTTATGCATTTTGCGGTCAAATATATGGCATTATCGGAAATAGCCTTTAATTAAGGAACATGGAAAAAATCCAAACAATTAAGGTAGAAGTTAAGAACAGGAACTATAACAAAATAAAAGCTTTGTTTCACCTGCAAGAGGCAATCTAACTTGGAATTGGAAGGATCCTCGAATTACTCAGGGTTGATAATTCGTCAACAGCAACAAAAAAATTATGCTGATAACAGCGACAGAATTTCTAACTTCTAGTTACCTCGAATAGTTTCCCTTATTAGGAAAGTACATAAATCAATGAGCTAAATTTAACTCAAGATTACTTAAGAATGTGTTGCTCGTGGCTTGCACGAGATTCGTAATTACAGAATGTCAAACCTCATGCTAAAAGCAGTCGACCGGAAGTCGCACAGATAGTGATAACAAATTAAAGGCGATCAATCGCTACATACTAAT